ATACATATATATATACATATATATACATATATATATATAGGCTTTTCTATAAATAACACATATATATCCTTAAAATTCCTCACTACCACCCAGGCAGAGATCAGGGAGTTTGGAGAATATGAAGATTTACACAAGAAGAAATAAGGGAAGAGAAATACTAGAGTAATCTAGCCTCTGCTTCCATTGAAGGGTACAGTAATTTTCCAGGTACAGTGACTTAACCTCAATATTAACTTAAGTTCAGCTCTGTCTCTAAATACTACCTGGAATAGTAAACCAATATTCATCAATACCTCTTCAATAGCACCTGCAGAAATTCTGTGACCTGCAACATTTATCACGTCATCAACTCGAGACATAACATATAGATAGCCTTCTTCATCCATGTAACCAGCATCCATGGTGTCATAGTATCCCTGTAAATAAGAATCAATAATGTCTAATTAGCATGTATTGCTAGGTAAGACAATCATTTAAGCTTGGTATATATAAAATGCGATAAAAATGGATTTACTCCATGCATTTGACTTTTTTCATAGCTAGACTATGGAATCAAATTCCTTTTGATTTTGGTAACTTACTAGAACTTCTTTGCTCCTCTAACAGCCAGGAATTAATTTAAGTGTTCTTATATATGGTCAAGTTAAGTGTCTGAACTATAAGTTATAAAGTTTATGAACTCAATTTTTTTAATGAAGAATAGTTCAATATTTCCAATATACTTTGGTTTTGTAAAGTAATTCTGATAGATTTCTTCATTAATTATATTAATTTTTAAAAGCTTTAAAGCTCTCTATGAATAATTAGAAAATACAGCGCTAAGTTTATTAACATGAATTTGGATTGGACTCAAGCTTCCGTGAAATATAATAAGGATGAAGTATAATTTTTAATCAACTCAAAGTAGCAGCACATCTTCACTGACCCAGAAAATCACAATAGAATGATGAATAAAGAGGAATAAGAAGTAGAAAGAAATATTTCTTCTAATGCTTTTCAGTCATCTTGATTCTTACGTAATGAGCACAGACTTTAGGAACAATCCAGATGAGTCACTATTTGGTTTCCTAATCTTTCTGAGATTCAGGACGCTCATCTGTTAAACAGGGTAGTGAACTATACCCTGTAAGGCCTCCATGAAGCATAAATGAGATGGTTTATACCTAGAGGGCGACTCTGGCACATCATAAGCCCTCTGTAATTGTCAGCTCTTATTGCGATTTCTGTTGGAGAGAAAACCTAGAGTACAGTTAAAGAGAATGGACTCTGGAATCAGATTTTATGTTCAATTTTCAGCTCCATCACTTCTAAATGACAGGCAAGTTACTCAACCTTGTTGTACTGTGGCCAAGCCCTTTAATGAGAAGTATGAGGTCAGGGTAACAAGGCGAGTGTAGAGTCACTCCATACAGTTTACCCATAAACTGAGACTTTGAAAGAGCTTTCAGTGTTAAAGGTGATCATGTTAAAACCACACTCACATCTGATTTGCCATTGTCGGGTGTAATTAATCACATCAGAACTCTGATGACTTCACAGCGGCCCATCAGGCAGATAGATTGGGCTGACAGGAGTCAACCCTACTGACAAATCTTCCCTGCCACAGTCCTTTGGGGCATGTTTAATCTTAGCTACTGAGGTCATTTAACTCCATGATCTCCTTCTAAAGGAAGCTATTTTAAATCTTGTCATTTGTCTGGCTGATGAGGTTACCTGTCTTTCACTCACAAATAATAAAGATAAAATGCTAAATACTGAGACTTCGTTTTTTTTATGAAATTATGACCATTTATTTATTTATTTTTTCATCTAATGCATAACGAGGAGAACCAAGGCTGTCTCAGGGAAAGAAACAGAGGTGAAAGGACAGCAGCAGTATGATGGTGGGACCTGATGTGGATTATCAGTAAAGTGCTGTTATAAACACAAAACACATCACGGTGATATGGAGAAACAGGTAAAAAATGCCAAAACACAAAGTAGGAGAACACTTTTTGTTATCCAGGGTACTGGAGGTTGTGCTGGGAGAACACCGTCTCTAGCATGTGTCCATAGTTTAAAAATGAGAGTTTAAAATAAAAAGCTAAGAGAGAACATTCAGGAACAAAATGTCAAAAATAGGCAAGGGATAGAAAAATACAACTTGTGGGCCGTGGGCCATCTGAATGTACTTTGCTCACATAACCAGCTTAGGGGATGAAGGGGGCCTAGTGACAGTGTACAATTCTCATCCGGTGCTTTCATTCTGCAGAGGGATCCAACGTAGGAAAGAATAGATGGCCCCAAAGTTTTTAACTTGACAGAAACTTTCCTGATAATGAGGGCTGCTAAATTTCAGGAAAATGTGCTAAGAGAAACTGAAAATTTTCTATGTCCACAGACTGAGAAAAATAAATATAAAAATGACTCATTTAGATAATTCTACTTTGGACACTGAGATCTAGAACTTGGTCCAGATAAACTTTAAGAGTTGTAGTATTATCTATGATTCCAGAACAAAGCTGCTCAATTTAATAGCCAAGAACTATAAAGAAGTACTTTGGAAGGTTGTTGTTGTTGTTGTTTTTTAAAGTATAATAAAGTTCTTACAGGAAATTTTTCAAAGTATAAATGCTTGAATGCTTCCTGATTCTTCCAGAGTCCTGAAAAAGCCCCAGGTGGTAATGGCAACCTTATATAAAAACAGAGCAGTTAGAATTATGATCAAAATGGTAATAAAGAAAGATTGATTCGAATAGTTTTCTAGTGTGATGGATAATTGCAAGTCAAATCCCACATCGAATACAACCCCTAAATCTGCTGGATCGATCATGTCTAATAAGGGCTGAAGTAGTTTGATCATGACATAGCAGCATCATTGAGGGATGACTGTAGTTTCTGCAAAGGGCACAAAAGGCACGTGCAGTTGGCATTCAAAGACATATTAGCAGCAATCACTGTTTCAATAAGAAGCGTAACATCTGCAAAAAGGAATAAAAAATGTATCACTGAATTGACTTTTTAGGACAAATATTCTTCCACCATAAGCAAATAAATTCTCTTTTTTCTTTTCTTTCTTTCTTTCTTTCTTTCTTTCTTTCTTTCTTTCTTTCTTTCTTTTCTTTTTTTTTTTTGAAGTATCAAGGTCCCAACTGCCACCCCTGCATGTCTCTGTGGAGAAATGCTCCAATTAAACATTCCAGGAACAATCTTATCTTCACAGTCAAGCTGCTTCCCCTCCCGGCTCAGGGAATTCCCTCTCAGTACGCCCTCTATTCTTCCTTTTCACAACCATCCCAACCTCTGTGATTTCTCATCCTATGAACACATGGAGATACTTGAGAATATAAAATATAAGGTTGGATACACTTCTTCTTTCTAACCAATTTGCTCTTGTATTTCCTGCTTTCCTCCAAAGTACCAAACAGATGTTTTACGCATGGCAAGGCTTAATCTGTAGCTATCTTTCCTTTTTTTAAAAAAATTTTTTTAAATGTTTCATTTATTTTTGAAAGAGAGACAGAGCGTGAGTGGGGGAGGAGCAGAGAGAGAGGGAGACACAGAATCTGAAGCAGGCTCCAGGCTCTGAGCTGTCAGCAGAGCCCGATGCAGGGCTCAAACTCACGAACAGCGAGATCATGACCCGAGCTGAAGTTGGACACTTAACCAATGGAGCCATCCAGGCACCCCTGTCTATCTTTCTGACAGGTAAATGTTAGATTGGTTCCCTGTAAGAAGTGCCACCTGACAAAAATACCCACTCAAATTGTTTTCTGGATACAGAAATCTTTTAGATGCTTTAAAGTTTGGAGATTTAGATACCGTAAAACTTAAGGATTTTGAAAAAACTTTCCCTGTCCATACTCATACAATAAAATACGTAGTGAAGCAGGGACCGTACAGTACGGCTGCTGAGAAAACTGAAAACAAAGTAGACGTGGCTGCTGCCCAGGTGAGGCAACGTCACACACAACCCCACCCCAGTATTAGGCCTCCAAGGTGCTGAACTATATTCTCACATTCGGTCAGACGGAAAGTGCTGTTACAGGTGGCATCAGGAGCCCAGCTGCGATCGCCCAGCCCCACTCTCTCTAGCCTCCAGGTAGGTCCTCCCTTGCGAGGGCTTCATTTGGTGACATTTTAAGATGGACGAGAAATGCAACATCTGCATTACTGGACCTCATGTCATGACATAAAAGTGCATGTGAAAGCATTCTGTAATCCGTAAAGAAAACTACAGAGATTCTGCTGTTGTTACTACTGCTGTTCATCACTAAGTCTGCAGGCAGGAGGCAGGCTGAAGCAGATGATCCCTTCAGGTCCTTTGAACGGACTTTACTATGTCAATCCTAAATCACTATGTATATAATTTCACTTCATCGGTGTGTTTTTATTATTGATATTTTACAGACCAGTGTATATCATTGATTAGTAAACATGGACAGAAAATATGGATAGAGAAGCCACCAAAACACATTCAACTTAGCATCATTTTCAAGATGTCGAGGAGGAAGAGGTGAAGAGGACACCAAGAAGGGAGGGTAGATGGCGAATCAAAAGCCAAAACAGGCCAGAAGAGATAACCTTAGTCAGTGAAGCCGACTATACATAAAATAAGCAACGCCAACAAAAACCCTGCTGGAGATAGATTCTGCTTACATATTAAATAAATAATTTCCAATTGTTTCTCCCCAAATATATCATGATATATAATCCTGTATGTTTTTCATGGTGATATTTTTAAACAATATTCTAAGAAAAATAAAAGATAACTGCCATAACAAATGCCAGCTGACACTAGGCTGTTTGGCAGACATCAGAGAGTGGTGGGGTCTGAGGCCAATTAGAATGCACATGCCAGGTGTAATGGAAGCAGCTGTTTCCTAACTCCATCTGGCATACAGAAATGCCCGTCCAAATACTGAGTCTCTTAATATTGCCCATACTAAAAACTATGCATATAGAAGGACATATTGTTAAACAGGCTTCTCTTTCACTTTATCTACCCCTGGTATTAATACATAACAGATACGTTATATTCTGATAATTAATTAAAGCTTCGAGGATTAAAGTCTAGGTAGTCATCCTCCAGGGGCGAGGGGCAGGAAACTTTAAGGACCTGGGCTTTTTCAGCTGTTGCACAAAATTTTAAATACCTGCTTAAATTTTGCGAAGAACAGGGACAGTAGGGATTTTTATACCATTTCTCATTCCTGTGTGAAAGGTCTGCATAAGTTTGGGTATACCCATAGACCTTGAGAATTAAGAATAACATACCAAAGATAAGATCCAGGGACAGAGCATGAAACAGGAAGGAGAAATTCAAGGCCAAATGCTATTGTTCTTTAAGGACCAAAAAAAAAAAAAAAAAAAAAAAAAAAAAAAAAAAAGACTATTGAACAAAAATAAAATAAAACAGAGATGTATGAGAACTAGGAAAAAATAGTAACTTAGGAGCCATTAAAGTAGAGTTTTAATAATGACTGAGTGTTCAACAAGGTCAAATGAAAGCACAGATTTTGTCTGAGGGTGGATTCAAGAGAGGTTAGGGAACTTAGTGATTGAGATATTCTGAGTATTCTTAGGATTGCCATTTCAGTGGTGTGGAGCGGCCAACAAGGGATGTGACTAAAAACTAAACAGGAAGTTAAGTGGAGGCAGCAAGTTTAGACTATATTTTTTAAAAGTTTGTGGGTGACGGGCAGGAGAGATATGTCATTGTTTAAGGCAGAGAGGCAGGCTGATTTAAGATGGGGAAGATTTGAGTAGAAGTAGCCAGTGGAGAGAGGATGAAGATATGAAAGAGAAGAAAATGCCAGAGAACTTATGTTTCATTCATTCATTCATTCATTCATTCACTCATGTATTTATTTTCTTCATTCAATCAATATTTGTTCGATTCCGGTATTCCTCAGTCATTGTATTAGACATTAATGATACAAAGATATAAGAACTCTGGTCTCAGACATATGAAAATCCTGGTGTGTTGTGTACTACAAGAAATGTATTTTTACAATACAGATAGGGAGAAAGCCTGTCATGAATGATATCTATTCAGTCACGTTAATGAAATAACAAGGTAAAGATGTTTGTCAGGCAAGTTTTACAGCAGGTCCTTAAACTCTCTACTGGCAGGAGCTCTTGGAAGGGAAGGTTTTATCCCTAAAACTAAGTCACGCCTAATAAGCCAAAGTGTGGATCTACTGGAAATAGCATATGTGCCTCCTGATCATTTTTGAGATGTCCCCAGAAAACTACTTCATTATCTCCAAATCTAACTGAGGAACAGGCTGGAAAGCATATATGAGATTGAAATTGTTAATTAATGGGATAAAATGAGGGAATGCTATCTGTTCTTCACTAATAAAGTCTCATGTTGTTATTTCAATATTAGAGAAGAACTCTGTAAAAGGAACCTTGAAAGATGCCATATAATAGTCCTAAGGAAAAGCAGGAAGAGAGGTTTCCAGAATTAGGAATATCTGTGATTATCTATAGGTATATAAAATATATGTGAAATAAAACATGTGAGAAGAGAAGCAATGAGCTTCAGACAGAAGTTAGGTATATATGAGCTAGAGCAGATTTTTTTTTTTTTTTTGGTGGGGGGCAGAATTCTAAATTAACACTTTTCTTGTTGATATCCAAATGATTATTCTATACTAAATGTAGGTCTTCTTTCTGGAACAGTGGGTGCACTGGGGCTTTTCTTCTGAAGTTATCTTATAGAAAAAGAACTTTTTTCTGTAGTTACAATAACATAAAGATACACTGGACTAGCAGAAGAAACAGGAAGATATTAAAATCCCAAGGCATCTGCTGGTTAGCGTCTCCTCCTTCAAATCCAAGGTAAAATGCTACCACCCTGTGATACCTTTCCCAACTCTTTCAAGCAGAGTGAAAAGGGTTTTGTTGCAACCTGTCTAATTGTGAATCAAGAGTTACCCCTAAAGAATGTCTTTCCAAAGAGACCATTCTTAAGGGGAAAGAGAAATAACTGAAGTGATCCCATTGGGGGGTGGGTGGAGGGAACACATGATGGGGAAGCATGGGGATGCTGAAAAATCCTTAAATAGCTAAGAAAGGAAGGGAATGCCCCTCATTGTAGAAGGTGACACATTCCTGACCACTCTGAAATATCAAACTCCTTTTATGCCTCCATTCCCAGATACAGGCTGGTCTGTATTTACTGCTCCATCAAAAGTCTCCATGGTAACAGAAGTAAATTGAAGATATAACTCCAGTTTCCTGGAGAATTCTGGGGTTAGATCCCAACTTTGCACCCGAATATTTCCGATAGAGTCTTTAGGCTTTACTTGAGATTTTCATGTGAGGCTATTTTTTGTCTTCCCACAAAGAGACTGATTAGGCCATAATTTCTTTCTCTTTGGACAGACAAAAGACTAGGTTTGAATGTGAGCTCCAGCTGTGTAACTACTAATGATGTTTAGATACCCATGTCTAAAACGAGGACGACATTGGCCCACTGTCTACCTCACAGTGATGTTGTAAGGCTAATAAAACATCTTGCTAAAATCTGTATATGACCTTTAGAAAAGGAACATGATTACAATTATGCGACAAACTTGTACTCAAAGGCTACACTGATGAAAAGAAAGCTGTCTGACCCTTTCCCAAGACAGCAGCAGAGTGACTGAATCATTCCTGCAAAGCTATAAAGATGTGAATAAA